GGCATCTGGAGTGCAGCGGGGCGCCAGGTGTTTTCAGGTCGCATGGGCTGTCATGGGGACCTGGGCACAGCTCCTGATGAGGGCGCTAGCGGGAGGACTCTCTAGGTTGGCTTTGGTCCCCTCCTTTGCAGGGTGGACAGGTAGGCTTGGGCCACCACGCCTGAACTCTACCTACCTGATCTCTCAGAGCGTGGCAAGTGGTCTCTGTCCTGCCCGCGAGCTGGAGTCTGCAAGGTCCGTGTCAGGAGCTGAACAGGAATGGTCAAGATGGTCCTTACCGATCCAGAGCCCTCTCTCTGGCTCCCAGAGCAGAGCCAACTTCCTCTCCGTCCTGCTGTATTACACAAGCCAAGATCCATTTCAAAGTTGGTGCATGACTCTCAGTAGCTTAAGAATAGTAAGTGAGGGCCAGCAGCTGGCGTGGTGGTTAAGGCGCTGGGCTCCCACGTGGCTGATGGTGGTTCGAGTCCCTGAACTGGCGCCTGGCTTTTTCAGTTTTTCTCTCCTGTGTGTGCACTCCTGCTCTGGCTCTCTCTGGCCACATTAAGAAATAGTAATAATAAATAAAATTAAATAAATACTTCTGTAAAAGAATTCAATAAAAAATGAAAACAATAGTAAGCGAAGTATGTTTAGAAAGGCCAACATCTTAGTTTCCCTTTCCTTTGGTAGAGAGTGTGCATGTGCAGAAGAGGGAGCAGAGAGAGGAGAGAGAACGCCCTCGCAGCAGGGCCTCTTCACAGGCAGACCCTCTCTCCTGAGCCCTCCAGCCAGGCCAGATCTCCGGTGCAGGTGCCGCACACCGAGGACTGCACCGCCACGCCTGGGCCTGCTCTCATCTTTTCAGACAGGGCCTCGCTCTGTGCAGCCCTCCGGCCTCAGCCTCCGGGGTAGCAGGGCCACTGTGCCCATACGTGAGCGTGGGCTGAGGACCGAATCTGGGCCGTCGCAGTGTCTACCAGCCAGCACTAGCACAGCTGGGCCCAGCGTCTTGGAGCCTCAGGGACCTAATGACTCTGTTTTATAGAGAAATCCACCAGCCAGAGAAGAGAAGGTGACACCGAATTGGCATGGATGCTCATTCAGGGGCCCAAAATCAGTTCGTGCCACCCATCACAGTTGAGACAAAATCTTGGTGAATAAGCAAGGGAATTTACTTAGGACACTGTGACAATGTGGCTGCCACTGGAGGGGTATGGGAAGGCCTCCCACGCATGCTCTGTTGTGAGGGAGCCTTCAAGGTAAGCCGCACTTTCCTGCTGTATTGGAGAGGATGGCCTTCCAGCCGGGGTGGGGGAGATTTCGGCTGAAAGGCTGTGGTCCTTGGGCAGGTGGAAGGGGAGGGCCAGCGGGGAGACCTTGACCTTGTTCTGGCAGGTCTTTCCAACAGGGCCCACTGAGGTCTGAGGAAACAGTCATTCAGCTTCCATTCGCAGGATGAGTCAAAGAGGCTTAACTGGAGTCCAGTTAAGAGACTGTTCAAACAATGGAGGGAAGAGGAGAGAATGGGGCCTCCTGAGAGGGGGAGGCAGTCGGTGAGGGATGTGGGCTGTGGGGCTGTAGGCCCCACAGTGTAGGGTTCCCAGCTGGGACACGTGAGTGGCGACCCTGTGACATAGCAGACACGAGGTGCAGCTATGGGACGCCGAAGTGCGGAAGGTATTGGCGTTCAAGTGCCTGTGGGTCCCAGAAGAAGACACTAAAGACATTGTCACAGCCAGGAAGACGAGGCTGTCACGGTGGCGGGCGCTGGAGAGAGGCTGTGTGACCGCGATGGACCTCGCCCCTGGGAGGCTGTGGGCGGCTCCAGAGACAGCGGTGTCGCTGGAGAGATGGAGCGGCATCCGGAGGCAAGGGGTGAATGGGAGGGACTTGGGGGTCCTCTAGAGTTTGCTGTCTTCCCTCTCTGCTGCTTGAGAACAGCCCAGCTGCAATGAGATAGCAAGACAGCGAGGGACTGTGACTTTGCTTGACACACCGAAGTCCGAGCAGCACGGGCCCAGGACCACATGGCCTTGGCCCCAGGGGTCTGCAAGTCTGCGCGCACCAAGCTGGGCTGGATGGCTAATGCCACCCGCAGGTGGGCTGGACAGCTAATGCCACCCGCAGCTGGGCCCAGGTAGGGAGTTTGGGGCCGTGCCCCAGCTGAGGCTGTGCCTTCTGACCTGCCTTCAGATTGTGTCTGGGGCACAGTGAGAGGCTCACAGAGAAGCTGGGTCCTCGAGGAAAGTGGAGTGGGAGAGGAAGATGTAGGCAGATGGAAGCAGAGGGAAGCTGGCGGGAGGCTGGCGGCGGCTGTGGGAGGCAAATGGAGGTGGATGGAAACACGTGGAAGGCAGGGGGAGGTGAACGGAGGTAGAGGTGGGAAGCGAAGATGGAAGCAGAGGGAAGCTGGCGGGAGGCAGGCGGCGGGGGGTGGGAGGCAAATGGAGGTGGATGGAAACACGTGGAAGGCAGGGGGAGGTGAACGGAGGTAGAGGTGGGAAGCGAGTGGAGGCAGGGGAAGACAGGGGGAGGCAGATGAAGCTAGAGGTGGGAAGTGGGTGGAGGCAGGGGAAGGCAGGGGGAGGCGGATGAAGGTAGAGGTGGGAAGTGGGTGGAGGCAGGAGGGGACGGGGAGGCAGGCGGGGAGGGGATGGGGGGGGGTGGAGGCAGGCACG